TACGATAAAAGTCTCTTCACTTAAAAATAATAATAGATGCACGAGAAGATATTGAAACTTTATGTTTTTCAGATAAAACGTAAAAAGTCTTTTGGTTTTTTTTCTTAGTTTATATTTTTTTTGTTCACACAATCGAAATGTCTTCATCCAGGCTCCTATAATTTATTTAAATTTGTTTTTTGTTTAAGAGAACATGTCAAAGTACAGAGCGTGACAAAATCTTTTTTTAAAATAAATAATGCTTTTATTGTAGACCTAGACAGTTATATAATTAGTCGCCCATTTTCTCAGACTTTTTCAGTCACTAAATGCGTGATCCCTTTTCTCTGTCAAAAAATTAAGTATTAAAAAACAACGGATTTTTTTATGCGTTGCATCCGGGCATGCCATGTCAAAAAAAAAATAAAAGATTTAACTACATGGGACAAGTCTGTACCTAGAAATTCATATTGTCAAATGAACTATTTTTTAATCATGTTTGATGAATATCTTGTTTAGATGTCAGGCCATACGATTAAAAATTTTACTAGTATATCCTTATAGTCCCAAAGTACCCTAGACTGAGATCGAGTTTTACGGAAAGAAGGGCTTGAGGAATAACAGAAATATTTTAACAAGTAGTCATGTACTCGGATTCCAATTAGTAGTCACAAGTAGAAAAAACTATCATGCAATCGACTGCGTCAATTGTAAACCAAGACTTATCTATCATAGTGCATGATAGTATCCATTAGTTCAATCATTCGTCTACACGAGTGCAAAATGCATTTGAAAAACATTAAAGAATCTCGTTTTAAACAGAACTATATTTTAATTACTTTCAATAAAATTTCGTCTCTGAAAATAATAGTAGCACTGAAGAAGATAACAAGCTTCTTTTTTCAACTTATTTCTATAAATTATAGTCATACTCCATATAGTTTTCAGTCAATCTTCATTATCATTATTACATTGATTTATTATTCAGTAAAATATTCTCTACTTCACTTATTCAAATTACACTACAAATCTAACTTAATAAATATCTATGTCATTCACATTCAAAAACAATACCTTGTACTTCCAGTAATCAAAACTGTTCGACTTGCCATTTATCTACAAATATAAAACACACAAATACAATTTCATCATATCTATTGCAAATCTTCCTAGGAAAAAAGAAACAAAAAAAGAGAAATTGATTTATTTGCCACCAGTTTGTTGTTTAGCAATTATCTCATCAAGTTGATGCTCAAAATCAACTAGTTCAACTTGAGATTTTTTAAATAGCTTTTCAAATTCAGCTTGTTTTGCTGTACCATCAGTTAACATCTTAGCTTGTACCATTTTTGATACAAGTATTGTTGCTTTTCGTTCATGATGTTTACTCATTCGACATTGTGTAAAACGTCCCATTGTTAGAACTGGTAGTGAAAGAATAGCTGCTTGAAATACTCGACGACGATTTGTTGAAAATAAAAATGCAGCCATACTACAAAAGAATGAACCAGGAATACCTTAGAACAGAAATAATCATTATTTTCTTATACATATATATATATTGATTAATTGTTATTTACCAAATATGAGTGCTTCTTTCAGACAAAGTGTTTCACTAAGAGGTCGATTTTTTGATACTTCAACAAACATCCCAAAATTTTGTTTTAGTTTATCCCAAGTGGATGCTGGTGCAAGATTAGGATCAGTATTTATTGGTTCAACTGAACGAAACTTTGAAAAATCTGCAGGATCATTCGTAGGTGCCATATCTAAAACTAGAATATTATTATATTTATTTTAGTTGATTTATAAACTTAAATAAAAAAGTGAGAGATTATTCTTATAATCTATGCACATGTATGAATGAAACAAAATTGTTCTAGTCCTTGAAGAAATTTTGTTCGTTCTTTTTTGTTTTTTTTTATTTTAAAATGAAACATGTAACAAAAAACAAGTTTATTGCACGAAAAAGAAAAAGAAATGAAAGAACGCACATGGTATATTCATATATCACTGTTTCTGAAAGCATGATTAATTTTTCAATCTATTTATAAACACACACATGTGGCAAAAATAAACAAACATTACAATTTTTCTCCAACACGAATTTTGTCACCAGAATGACGAACAAACTGAAATGTAGATGGTGCTTCGAATACAAGTACAATACAAGATCCTAGTTTAAACTCTCCAAATGCTTCTCCTTTATCAAAACTAGTTTCTTGTGTTGATTCAAACTTTTCTTTCCATATTCTAAATGTATAATCATCTAGTTTCTGATTTGTTTTCAATGTTTTATCAAAATAAACATCGATGGAACCAACATTTGTTGCACCAATCATTGTTTGAGTCATTAAGCCATGTTTATATTGACCCAAGTAAACTACACGTTCATTAAGTAAAAGAAGATTTGGTATCCAAATAATGAATTCAGGTCTGACACTCATAAGTTCACCTTTTTTGGAAAAGAGAAAAGGTAATAATATAACATGTAATCAGTAGTTTGATATAGAAATCTACCTGTTATATGTCGACGTTCACTTATTTTCCATTTTGCTGGACTATGGAAATGATGATAATTACCTGGATTCAAATAAATACAAGCATAAAAAAGTGATCATTCACTTTGTTTGCTTTGTAAACGTTCTATTTCACTTTGATCAAAT